AAAAAAAAAAAAAAAAAAACACATCATAGTAAAACCAATACCTTCTCAGCTTTGCATCGAAGCTAAAAAGTAATAAATATTAAAGTAGTAATTTTAAGTATAAAAAAGTATTCATAAAGTATTCATCTTACACAAAAATACGAGATGAAATACATTTAATATCTAAAAATTATTAATCTATCATACAATACCTACTCATTAATTTTAGTAAATAGTTTTAATTAATAGCTACTGAATCAATTCTATGCAGCTAGGAAAACAAATTAAACGTTTGTTTTAAAAATATATATTGACCGAAAATAGTTAATAAATAATTACTGAAACAAGTTCAAATTTGATCAAAATCAAAAAAACAGAAATTCTATAGAATTTCATAGGTATTCCAGTTAATTCGAATTAATATTGAGAAGGATAAGAAGATACAAATTCATACTCATTAAACATAAAACTTAATGGGAGATAGACTAAATCAGTTTTAAGCTCACTTAATTATTTCATGAGGTATTTTTCATACTAATAATCGATTTAAGAATTATTTATGGATACAACAAATAACTATGTCTAAATTAATATCTGATAAGTTCTTATACCTCAAGCATACATACTTTTTTACTTATAGTAAATAATTCCTAAATGACCTTATTTAAAATCAAAACTAACCTGTTAGATGATTCCCAGTAAATTCAAAATCGTCATCTTGGTCCCAATGTTTTAATGATAAATTACTCAACGGCGTTGCATTAGCAAATTCTAAATTTGCAAAATGCCAATCCAAAATTTGCCTATCTTTTGACGACAAATAAACATCACTAAAATAAAATACATCAAACATAGATTAAAGTCTACTTAATATACTCAAGCCATAATATTTAATTCGTTTATTTAAATAGGTATTTTTACAATTAATATATAAGTATCTACATAATCGATAAGAAATTGTGTTTAGTCATATTCTAAACAATAGAAAACAAAAATAATACAGACATTATTTGAAAATAAAATAAAATGAAGAACAAATAATCTTTTGATCCTAGTAAAACAGTATAAGTTTATATGATTTAATTAACATATAGAAATGTTGACCCATATACATTATATGTAGTTTTGTTACTCAGTCTAATCAAAATAATAAGTTCATTTGTGATTTAAATTTGAATAGATACATAAAACTTTGCTTCCTGAAAATACTGTTAAATATCAATTATCATTATAATCATATCAATCTACAGCATTAATAAAATATTTACAAATATTATTAATACAAAATATTTATTAACAAAAATTTAAGTGATGAAATAGTATTTAACTGCATAGAGTTTAAACACAGCTCCAATTTAACCATTTAACTATATATAATAATAGTAAATATTTGCCTTTATTTAATACTAAATTTATGAATGTGTAAAAAATATGAAAGTATTAATGTTATTATTATTATTATTTTTTAACAAAGCATCTCATTGATTAAATTTATAATATCAGGCAAAAATATCAAATTTTTTTATTCATATATACCTTGGCGGTGAAGCTTCCAATTCTTTCAATTTTTCTTCAAGTTCAGTCTTTTTCCCTAAGAGTTCATCCCATTGCTAACAATAGTAAAAAATATTATGTATAAAGTATTTATATATTTACAAAAAATTGTAAAACAAAACATTTCAAATGAAGTACACAAATTTACCAATTTTAATATTTTAAATCATATAAAAGATGATAAAAACTCTAATAAATATTATTTTAAAATGATAAAAAAAATAAATTTTTTTTTTTTTTTAAAGAAACACAATATTTAGTAGATCCAAAGTTTTGGATTTGTTAAAACATTATGGACCACTCTAAATAATTCTATTAAAAACATTAGTTAAGATATTTCTGTTCTTTTAATTCTATTACTCTTTGTCAATTATGCCTATTAAATTTTTTGAAACAAATAGTTTAAAACAAACTTATTACTAACATTGATATTAATGGCTATTTCTCTAGTAGCAACTCTGTAAGCAAAGTTTGCATTTACATCAGAATCTTTTTTTTCTTCATTATCTCTCTGCTGAGTTGATAAATCTTTTAATAATTCTTGAATTTGAAGCATCTTTAATAATAAAAAAAAAAAAAATTAAATTATTTTCATATACATAAGATTACTTTAAAATATTAATATATATAACCAACTTTTTTATAAATATTTTTTAAACGTTCCTGTGCAGCCACATAATTTTTCATGTATTGTATTAACTTTTGTTTCACATGTTTTTCTTGTAACCTTAGAAAAAGAAAAATTAGTTAATAAATATATAACTAAATTTATATTGTTTACACTAACTTTATAACCCATTCAAGTGCATGACCCAATGAAACAGGTTTTCCGTTACAATAATTTAAATCTAAATGATGAGAAAGGTAACTAGTAGCTTCCAAGAGTCTATTAAATTCTTTTTCAACCATTTCATCTTTATCCTTTGGAACTTGCTGTAAAAAATTAAATACATTTATGTATAATAAATCATCATCTCTTTAGCCTCTATCCCAGTTATTTAGAGTTTAGATTTTTACATTAGCTGTCAACCTAACACAACCTCATTATGGCTAAGAGAACCAGCAAGGGGAAAGTTGTATGTCACTGTTAGTTCTTTTAAGGTCACCCATCCGAGAAGTAACATTGTAAATGGAAAATTAACATTTAAGCTCCATCACTTGTACTACATCCACTGTACTACACCATACTCTTATAAATAATAAATCAAATTAAAAAAATAAATTAAAATTTAATTAATCATACAATACAGTTAACTTATTTATACATAAGTATATAATTGAAATAACACTAGGGCCAGATTCCAGCAAAAACATGAAGTTCTTACAATGACCGAATCATTTAAATTAATAATTAAATAACTCTATACTATCTCATTAATTAAAATTAAATGTATTTTTATTGTAAGGTGTATTAAATTAAAAAAAAAAAAATGTTCTTAATGCTTGTATAATAGAAAAAAATTATTAATCTCAGAAAGATAGTATATTATCTAAATCTTTACAAACTAAAGCACAACACTTTCGCTTTTGAGCTGAGCCATCTATAGCAAAATATTTCTTAAAAAATAAGAGTTGAAATAAATCTTTTATTAACATAAACTAGATTTGTTGATAGCTTCAATAATTTACTACTTACAGTTGAAACTAATGCGTTCAATTTCCCTGGCTCATAAAGAGGACACTTTTGTCTAATTCGATGAAGCTCCATATTAATTTGTTTAGATAACACTGTCACTGGATTACCACCAAGACCTGTGACTACCATTGCACCCAAATCAGCAACATACGTATTTTTACGAAATGTAGCAATACGACCACCAACACGATCCTGTAAATTGTTATTTTTTAAATTATACACTGATATAAAGATAATTAATTATTAGACATACTCGAGATTCAAGTATAACAACTTCCATACCAAACTGCTGCATTTGTTGAGCAGCAGCTAATCCAGCAATACCAGCACCAATTACTATTGCTTTCCCAACTTTTTTTGAAGGTACAGTCTAGTAATATTTATATAAAAATATTATTCAGATCTTTTTAAAGAACGCCTTTAATTTATACTTACTTTTAATCTCTTAAAAACACCAAAATTTATGTATCCATGGCGTTCTAAATATGCATGAATTCTCTGAATGAGAATTTTATCAGTATTAAATGGTGGTTCAATTATAGGCAATAATGCCTCAAATAATAGTTGTTGTTTTGGATTATCTAACCATTGCTGTAACTAAAAATTGTTATATTCCAGCATTAAAACACAAAATTTAGTTGTAAAATACTGTATTAGTACTGTTAAAAAAAAAAAAATTACACTTGATTTTTTTTCTTTTAATTACATTAAAGGTTTTTAACTAAAAAGAAATTTTCTCTAGACTTGATTACTTATTTAAGGATGTCTTTTTATTATTAGAAATATTTAAGTTATTTTAGTAAGCTTAGTTAAATAAAAAGTTGTACGCATAATATTTTATTAGATAACATCATTTTTTCTTTAGTATTTTACCAAACGATTGCGAATATGCAAGAAAACTTTTTGAGTTTGAGTTGGTCCATGAGCCACATCAGGAAAACAATATGCTTCATTTGATGTCATTTTATCAAAAGGTAACCGACTATGAAAAGCTGCTCCTTCCAAACCTGACATATAAATTTATAAAATATTAATAGGTATTAAACTAGTAAAATCTTCTTCAAATGGCATCAGGGAACTAATTTTAAGAAAAACAATGACAAAATTGTGGGAGAAAAAGCAAATTCCACAAAAAAATTGATATTTCAACTGTAATATTAAAAATATCTCATCCTAATAAAAGAAGGGAAGCAACTATTATACATTTGTATAATTAAATAGTTAACAACTAAGTCTACTAACCAAATTTTCTAATCTAAAATTTTTTTGATGGAATACTTAAGCATTTTTGGGTACATTAAGTAATATATTAATCATTTATTTTTTTATATTAAGCAAAAAATTATACCTGTAGGGTCATCTTGCTCAGAGTCAAGTTCAAAGTCATTTTCTTCTTTATTATGTGTACTATTATCTTCAGATATAATACTATCTTGTATACTATTATCATTAACATTTAGAGTTATATCTTCTTCATTTAGGGTCTCTGAATTCAGCTATAAAAGAAAAGAAATGTATAAGAAATAACTCTACTTTGATTAATTATATAAAATTACTCGAATACGCTTTCTACGGTTAATCAAAGCACTCATCCTGACTAGTTTTCTAGACACTATTGTACTAAAAGAAAAATACTATTAATAATTTTATGAACACTATTAAATTAAAAACACTATAATTAAAAAAATTGTTTATCTTACTTTTATTTTAAAATTAAAATTTTTATGTAATAATTCAAAAAATTACAATAACTATGCATAGAGTGTGTTTAAAAAAATATTAAAATTAAAATAATATTACATACCTTGGTGAGTCAAGAAAACCAATTTTCTAGAATTAATAATACAAAATTACCGATAATTTTAAATATCTAATAAGCTCACAACTATGATGAACTAACCAGCTGTTATTATCAAACTATATTTACCGCTCATTGTAACTGTGATAACAAATAACCGGGAAATTGCTGATATTTATGTCATAAACTTACCTTTATTTTATTTATTGAATATTTCATAATTAAAAAAATATAAAAATGTTAAATTACTAAACAATAAATACTTTATAATAAACCTAGAGATATACTTATATTATTATTATATATATATATATAATTTGTCCAAAACTGCTTGTTCGACTTTGAAATAGTGTAGATTTCATAAAGCTTATCTTTGGAATTGATAACACATGATAATACTATTTTCTTTTTAGGTTAAAAAATGCCCAATGATTTAGATTTATTAAAAACGTGTTTTAGTTTAAGTAAACTTTTATTGTTGATTGCTTAAAATTTAATATTTATATAACCAGTAAAAATACATTTTTATAACTTTAAGTTATATTAATTTATCTAAGGTATTTACATTAATGAAAGATTTTATTTTGTTGGTTTCAAGTTAAATGTATTAATACATACGTAAATTTGTTATTATTTGTAGTTTTTTAATATTTGTAAATTAGTGAATTGTAAATTTCATTTTGGAAATTAAACCACGTGCATTGACATTTTTATTTATAGGTAATTATTTCAGATGTCAATTTATCACGACGAAGTAGAAATAGAAGATTTTGAATACGATGAAGATGATGAGATGTATTATTATCCTTGTCCGTGCGGAGATCGTTTTCAAATAACTAAAGTAAGTTATATACTTTATTAACTTATTTTAAATTATATGATTAAGATAATAAAGCTTAGTCTTATCTATCAAAAGCATTATTAATTTCTACACTAAAAATATTATATACTGTTAAAAAATAATAATTTATTTATTGTTATTTATTAATATTGGAACCATTGAATTTTACCACATTTTCTGCTGATTAAATATTTTTAAAGTTCATAATTATTATTTGTATATTACATATTTTGTTTTATTATAATATATTTTTAGTATATTTAGATATAGGACTTTAATTGCATCCTTTGTAAAAAAAAAAAAACTAAAAATTTACCCATTAGTATTAATAAATTTTAAGTTTTAAATTAATCATAATAAATATTTTTTTATTATATCAGATATTATTAACTTTTAAATATATCATTATATATATATGTTAATAATTGGTGGCACGGTGCGAATTATATAGAGTAATCGATTAATCATAAACCATTCGATTACTCCCAAAATAAATACAATATTAGGAACAAAAAATTTTTCAATTTTTTTTGTGGAAAAAAATGAGAATACTTCCATGACCTCTATTCCAGTTGTAAGAGGTGATTTATGAGGTTGTATTAGGTCGACAGCCAGTGTAAAATTTTATCAAAAAGTATGAAGAGTCCAGAACGGAACTAAGGCGAATTGTCCAATTTTGGATGTACGCGGGGACAACAGGTCAGAAGAAATAAAATAGTTAAGAGAAGGCCTAAACAGTAAAAGGTTTAGTAGCAGCCAGAAAATTTGTGTGATAGCTGTTTGACCAGTTATGTGTACAAGCCTACCCAATGCTTATAGTGTCTACAGTATAGTGACATTATCACTCAACTCTAGGCTAAACTCGTGTATAGGTGAGAAAGATACAAAGAATAGGTATGTTGAATAAATAGTAATAGATCACAGATTGATTATTTTATGTGGAAGAGAGAGAGTTTAAAGCGAGTAAAAGATTAAGTAAAGAAAAGTAAAGTTGCCCTAGTGTAACTACATAAAATAAGCTAATGGTATGAAATTGTAGTGTATGGGAAGAGAGTATACAAAAAAAAGAACACAGGAAAAGAATTGAGAATCCAGTTATGAAAAAATGCGAATAAGAAAAAGAGTTTTTAAAGATAGTAAAAGAGAGGACGGTATAGAATGTTGAGAGAGACATAAATGATGTATGGGATAGATTTGCTAGTTGCGTAAAGAATACTGCAAAAGAGATTTTTGGTCAGTATAGGAGTAAAATGCCAGAAAACATGGAAACTTAGAGATGGAATAAGAATTTTCAGAAAATCATAGAGTTAGAAAAAGCACTTCAAAGTATGACAAAAGAAGAGAAGATTGAATAGAATATAAACATTTGTGTAGAGAAGCCAAGTGTAAGGTAAGTAAGAAAGAGTTAAAGAGGTATGATAAGTTGTGTTATAAGCTAGGAACAAAGGAAGATAAAAAAAAAATCTATACACTTGTAAAGGTAATAGAAAGACGGTCTAAAGATAAACACAATGTAAGGTGTATAAAAAGTGTTGATAATTGGGTACTATCAAGTAATAATGATGTGAAAAAAAGGTAGAAAGAGTATTTTGAAAAATTACTGAATAAGGAGTATCCAAAAGAGACATTAGAGAATAACTCGTAGAAAGAGGGACGGTAGATTTAACTAGTAAGAAAGAGGTATGGAAGGCTATTGCATCAATAAAAAAGAATAAAGCAGTTGGACCAGATGAAGTGCCAGTAGAAATAATAGAAAATTTTAGGCATTGTTGGTATAAAATGGTTGAAGGAACTATTTAATAAAATCCTATTAGAAGGTGAAATTTCAAAAGAATGAAAGAATAGTTTTGTGGTGCCGATATTTAAAAGCAAATGAGACATGCAGGAGTGTGAATTTTATAGTGGCATATGCTTATGAGTCATAGTATGAAGATTTGGGAAAAGATAACAGACAAAAGAATAAGAGGAGAAGCATCAGTAATAAAGAACCCGTTTCTTTTAAGTGTGACTAACTATGATATATGGTTCTGTTATTATTATTTGGTTAAATATTAAACGCTAGTCTTAAGTGTAAATGTACAACTAAAAATATACAAATGATGCATTTGAAAATTTTCCACCCTGGATGGTCATCTGGATTGCCCATACCTAAAACTGAACCTGAATACAGGTAGGCTTAGACTTACCTACTGAGGATGCCAGTGGACACAAGAACTTGTTATTTATATTTGAGTATTTGACATAAATGTATATTTACATTTTATTTATTTCAATTTATCCTTATTCTCAATAAAGTTTTGTCTACATCAATTAACTTAAATACTTACTGGTGTATGCACAAATAAATAAAGATTCATTAAAAATACATTAATATTTTTTAATGAATCTTTATTCAATTTTAGATTTTAAATATCGAAAATAAATAAAATATTTATTTACCTTTAAATAAATTAAAAAAAAATTTTTTTTGTAAAAAAAAAGAACTAAATAATGACTATTTCGAAATTACAAAAAAAATTTAAAAAGTAATTTTTTTTTCTTATTAATAAATAATAAAAATATGTTTTTAACATAGTCTAAAATTATTCAAATTACTTTTTAAAAAAATAACACAATAAATTTGGCGGATCAAAAGTTATTAGATTTGTGAAAATATTGTGAGAAAGTGTATATTTATATACCTTTTATGATACTTATTTGTTTTAAAAATAATTTTAATTGTCTTTTTGTTCTAATTTATTAATTTTACAGGATGAGTTAGAATCTGGTGAAACTGATGCCACTTGTCCTAGTTGTTCTTTAGTCGTGAAAGTAATTTATGATCCAGTAAGTTTGTAATTAAGAAATTTTAACATCTTTTAAATCATCAATTTTTTTCTCAGGAAACATTACCCCATAAGCAAAAATCAACTATTTCTAATAGAAGTGTAGAGAAGTGCTAGTGTTATGGCTGGTGCTAGTAGAGGCAGAGGCAGGGGAAGAGGAGGTGGAAATTTTGGCCGTCCTCATATTTCTATTGGCAATGAAAAAGTTGAGCCAGATGACCCTTTAGACTTCAAAGCACCTGAACTTTTCCCATCTTTGCGAGCCAATATAACTGAAATTGAAGAAGATAGTGAAGATGATGATTTAATTATTTTTGAAAAACAATTAGCAAAACATTTCCATGAAGCCGCATCATTTATATCTAAAGAAGATTTTACCAGTCCTTGGTCTTATCTCAAAACCATAGAAAACCATAATTATTTCCCGCCATCTCTGTTACCAAAGAAAAAGAAAACTATTGATGAAAAGCCTTTTAGTGATATACAATGGATGGACAAATTAAAGGACGAAGTTATTAATCATGATTATTTATCTTTAAAGCAAGTGATATCTGCTAAGAAAACAAAAATAGATGATTTTTTAAATCCCACAAGTAAAAAGAAAGCTAAAGTTGAAAATAACCCAACTACTTCACAGCTTATTAATGAAAATGCTGTTAAAGAGCTTGATGAAGAGGAAGATATAGATGTTGAAGATAGTGATGAAACAAAAAAGAAAGATGAAGAAAAAGAAGGTGAAGTAAAGGATATAGATGAAGAGTATGAAAGTGATGTTGATGATGAGCTAGATGATGGCACAGACTACAACAAAAATTATTTTGATAATGGAGAAGGATATCTTGATGATGATGATGATGGCTTAGATGATAATGATGCTATTTATTAATACAATTAATATAAATCACAATTTACTGATAATTTTGTATTTATTTTTAGTAATTAAGTATTGAAAAACTGTTTTTTTTTTAATTAAGTTACTTGTTTATGTTTATTGATTTGTTTATATGTTATTTTACCCCCTGAAGTATATATCTAATTTATAAGTTTATATATTGTATATAATAAATTTTTTTCGGTTAAATGTTAAACCAATGACCTGCTATCTATCAGTAGTTAGGTTCTTGTAAATATTTATATAGTTTTCAATATTTTCAATAAATACAAAAATATTAACTGATTACAAAAAGAAATTTTAATTTCAAACTAATAATTGTTATTAACTAACAATTTAAATAACCAACACCATATAAAAGTATTAACATTATTCATATGATACGAAAAAATATTATTAGTTATTTTATTACTATGTTTTATCCAATTTACAGGGTGAATATTTTAAATTTTTGTAAAGAGATATTGTTTATTTGATTCAAAAAACTCGACAATATAAATAAATTAATTTTTTTTTTGGTCATCCCTTCAGGGATAAAAAACTTTAACATTTTTGACAACAATTGTTGTACAAGAAGTCATTTAAAAGTGTTTTTAAGAAAGTAGTGTAAACGCATTAGCGTATTAAGAATGATAAGGTTTAAAATTAGTGAAACCATCCCTTATATTTTTTTAGCTTCGATGCGAAGCTGTCAAAAGATCACAAATCGTATCTAGTCGAAGACATTACCCTCAAAAATTGAAAAAAAAATCCCTCGTTCCCCGTAAATGGAGGAAACCTCCAAAAAAATTACAAATTTAAAAATCGCTAATTTTCGAAATTTGTTCAATCTTTTTCTTAAAACTTCCATAACTTTTTCAAAAATAAACATATCAATATAATTTTTTTTTATAGATGAATGATGTCATTACCTATCATTTCATATATTTTTTTTATAAATCTGACTTTTTACCTGACCACAGGGGGGATTTAAAATGACAACTTTTTTACAAAAAATTAACTTTTTCAACTTAACTTTTGAAAATGTTCCGGAAGGTCTGACACTTTTATATATATCTTAAATTAAAGTTAATGTAATATTCTTTATTATGAAAAAAAAAAATTTCGGACTTCGTTTTATCTTCACGGTGAAAATGGCTACCAAATGCTATTTTTGTGAGAAAATTTTCGATTTTGCATTTTACATTTTTAACTTTATTATGCTATAACTTTTTGAAAAATGTATGGATCATTACAATTTTTTTATGAGAAGTAGTATTTATATAGATCTTTCATTCGACATACTTTTTTTTTAAATCGGACCATTTCCCTTAATACAGGGGGGATTCAAAACATAAAAATGCATATAGAAAGTAGAACTTTTTCAACTTAACTTTTGAAAGTGTTCCGGAAGGTCTGACACTTTTATATATATATTAAATTAAAGCTAATGTAATATACTTTATAATGGTAAAAATAAATTTCGGACTTTATTTTATCTTATGGTAAAAACAGACATTAAACTTAATAAAAAAAATACAATTTTTGTAAAAAAATTCTTTTTTATATTTTTAACTTTATAATGCTATAATTTTTTTTTGTAGATGCATGATGTCTTTACCTATCATTTGGTATATATTTTTTTTATATCTGACCCTTTACCTGCCCACAGGGGGGGATTTAAAATGACAACTTTTTCACAAAAAATTAACTTTTTCAACTTAACTTTTGAAAATGTTCCGGAAAGTCTGACACTTTTATATATATCTTAAATTAAAGCTAATGTAATATTCTTTATTATGCAAAAAAAAAATTTCGGACTTTAGTTTATATTCACGGTGAAAATGGCTACCGAATGCTATTATTGTGTGAAAATTCTCGATTTTATTTTTTACATTTTTAACTATATAATGCTATGACATATTCAAAAGTGTATGGATCAATACAATTTTTTTATGAGAAATATTATTTTTAATAATCTCTTTTTTATTCGATATACTTTATCTTAATCAGGATATTAATAAGGAACTAGCAGATCATGTGGCTTTTGGAATAATTCACCAATTTTTTAAAATTAAACACTATCTAGAGATTTGCATCGAAGCGTTTTTTTTTTTTTATAGTGATTTTAATCACTGTCAGATATCATTATACTTGATCCATTTATGCCACGTCACCACTGTGCTGCGACCCCTCTGTGCTGGGTTTTTTTTTTTTATAAATCTGACCCTTTAAATGCCCACGAGGGAGGGGATTTAAAATGACAACTTTTTCACAAAAAATTTACATTTAGACTTAACTTTTGAAAGTATTCCGGAAAGTCTGACACTTTTAAATATATCTTAAATTAAAGATAATGTAATATACTTTATTATGAAAAAAAAAAATTTCGGATTTTATTTTGTGTTCATGGTGAAAATGACTACCGAATGCTATTTTTGAGTGAAAATTCTCGATTTTATATTTTACATTTTTTAAATAATATGCAATAAAATATTCAAGACGAATCTGTGAATTTCGTCAAGCTGTATTAGTAAGACTATTAACAACGGGTGCATTTTAATTTTTTTTTAATTTATTCTTATATTAATTTTTTTTAAATTTATTCTTATATTAATTTTTTCTTTGTCGTTATTGTCGTTGAAAGTGATGCACTTGGACTTTTGAATAGATATCATGAATCTTGTTGATTTGGACCGTTGAGTGAGTTTATCTGCTGTGTCTTCTAAGTGCTATTGCATTGTTTCGATACTCTGACTCTACGCCAGGAAGTAAAGTCATCTGCATAGAGGTTGGCTTTCACGTATCGTAACTCAAAATAATATAAAGGGACGGTGAGTTGGGTAAATGATGATAATTACTTTAGTATGAGGTGTGATTAGAGGGTCACAAAATAAAGTGTTAACTCTTATTGGTTTTAAATCTTACCTGATAATAATTATTTTAAGAACAGAGAAGAATTATTCTTCTCTGTTTTTAAAATAAGTTCAGTAACAGTATTAATTGATAAACAAAGTAAGACAAGTTTAACTTTTACTTCACAAATTAACACATAAAAATATCGACAATGATCATAAATTTTACGTGATGATTTTGGGAGTGCGATTGGAACAAGCGAGACTGTGAGGGATTGCTTTGTCTTTTTAATATTTTTTTACCCCGAAAATCACAATGGTCTCATTCTGGCAATGTTACTGTTTATCGATAAGTAATCATAAAATATAAATTAACATATAAAATAGCATAAAATATATAAATAAATAAATTATATAAATTAGTGCGTGTGAATAATATACAAATCATTTTGATATTTCATATAATATAGTTTAATTTTATATTTTAGATTAAAGTTGACACAATATGTTTTTTTTATTAAGATAAGAGTAAAAAGAGCAGACAAATATAGTTTTATAAATTTCTTCTGGGAAAATAATGATTTTTAATGGTGACTAATAATTGACTCATGACTGAATCGTGTGTATTAATATATTAAAGAACATTATGCGTTTGTAAAAATTTATTTAAGTTATTTATTTAAATTATTTGTTTGATAAGAATCATGTTATTCTAATAATATGAATATAATTTATAAATAAAAGTATTAATTATCTTAAATGAAAAAACTAAAGGAAAGACCATTATTGTGGACACAAACAGAGCAGCGCCTTATTATTCCATATTGTGATAGTGACGAGTATAATACGATTCACGGAGTATCTTATTGTTTCTACTATATCGTTTATTGTCATTAAGAATAGTGTTTTAGAGAGTAAGAATCCTTGTGGGACTCCGTTTTCTTAAAAAAAATTGTTGGAAAGGCAGTTTGATACTTTGGCAGTGAATTATCTAGCCTTTAAAAAACTCTTTATGTAATTTAACAAGTTTCCATTTGCTATGGTTTTGCTAAGTATCTTCAAGACTCTATATCTCTATACCGAGTCGTATGCTTTAGATATATCTAGACTTATCTATCATACTTAGATTTTGTTTGGTTTCAAGGGTTTATATTATTTATTTAAAAATTGACATAACTGAAGAATTTACAATATTTTGCATAGAATAAAATATTACTATAAACAAAATAAAAATAATTTCCTAATAACATTAATATTTTAAACAAACATAAAAAAAGTTCAAATAAATTACATTTTATTATATTTTCAAAAACAACTCAAAAATATTTTCATAATTTTACCTTCCTTAAGTTAAATTATCATTTACTATAATAAATTAATACCAATAAAACCTTACATAATAGAAGTATAACTACTACTATTACTTTATGTTTAATGACAGACACTCATTCAAACGTAGATAATTTTCATGAAAAAAGTTATATACTTATAACAAATATTTAGTGCAAAAAGATTTATTTTTCTTCTGTCTTTTTTTGTATTATAATATTTGATATCATAAAATTAAACATAATAGTTCAAATTTTTATAAACTTTAAAATGCTACAGATAATTTACTATTAAACATTAATAAAAAAATGTTAAAATTAATTCTCAATAATTATACCTTTTTTAATAATTAAAAAATGATGGTATATTTAATATACTATATTATGTTATTTATATAATCCTAAATTATAACAATTTTTTGAAAAAGATATTAATGTAAAATATTTATTGGATTAACCGTTATTGAATTTGTTATATTTTCGACACTCACTCTGTATCAAATAAAAATTATGAAAAAAAATATTCTAAAATAATAAATATTTTAAGAAAAATCAAGTGACTAATATTAAAAAAATCAACCTGTATAGTCATATAATTTTATTTTCATCTCTTCAGGGTTAAAAAACCTAAACTCTAATTTTTTTTAAAAGGAATTTTAATTTTTAATTTAATGTCGTGACAGAAAAAAATTTTCCAATCAATAATTGATTAACAAAATTATTTTGTTTTTATATACTTTTTTTATCCGATAAACTTTTTGAGTTTTGAAATTGCTTAAAGAATTTAATTTAAAATAGAAATTCATTTTTAATTTAGTTTTCATAATACCGGAATCAACAATAATCTATTCAATAGGCAAGTTTCTTAATAAGAATATAAGTACTGGATAAGTATTTAAATACTGATCGAGCACTGTCAGTAGAAAGGAGGGTACATTTTTTGAATTGGATCTTAGTTCCCCAAGTTGCGTCAGCGGGCACCAAGTTTACTACAATAAACTTTTTATGTAGTATAAGTGAGTTTTTATAAGCTTCTAATCATATTATTAAAATAAGAGACTGACGATTTTGTTTCATACCCTCTTTAAAAAAGCGCCCTTGATTAATTTTTTACTAAGTACTACAAATACTTAATATTTTTGTATAAAAAATAAAATGATAAAAAAGAATACAACTTTTAAAACCAGGAAATTATTCCTTATCTTATAGAAAAAGACCATATGGGTGTTAAAACGTGCAAAAGTGGTTGTAAACTGCGCGTTCATTAATTGCGCAACTAAAACTAAATAATTGAAAAAATATAAAAAACATGTCTCAGGTAATAACAGATTCTGTAATACTGGTTGGTTGTAGAAACATAATCAATAAGTCAAATTAAACACAATAAAATGATCTACATCCGTACATGGCTGAACAATGTATGGTCTACTTTGTCCAAACAAATAAATATTTTTTTTAAACAATAATTAGTGTTCGTAAGTCAAAATTATCGGCCGATTGTTAATATCCAGTATACAGCGCTAATTCAAGACAAATCGTAAGTGAATCCTATTTTATTTTAATTATTCGGTTGGGTGGTAAGTACAGCCGAACAGTAGAAATATTTTTACAATATTTTTAATTTTCTTCAGACTCCTTCTTATGCCTGCTCAGAGTCAGTGACTTCTACCAGGATTTAGCTGACAGCCCCGATTTTATAGTGCATGTGGATCTAGCTTGCCCAAAAATCACCCTTGCTATTCCACCGATAGAAAGAAGATGCTCGGCCTGTTTCAGACGAGACAGGTGGCCTTACCCTCTTTGGGATCACTGCACTTCGATCAAAGTGCTACGCATATGAAATGGAAGGCAGCAAACTTATCAAGTCTAAGGGGATCCGTAGACACGTCGTCCGAAACCATCTGTCTTTGGACGATTACAAACGGTGTTTGTTCTAAGACGACGACGATGGTGGCGATGCGTCAAAATGAGCGTTGTTTAGAGAGAATGCCCACGTAATCTTTGGAGTGGTACGTGATGGTGAACAACATACATTATCGTTACTACGGATTTCCCATTTTTACCCTACTTAAATTAAATAAGTTATTATTTGATTTAGTTTCCAACGATGCCGATGTTAATTTGCTATGCAAAATTTTTCAAAATCAGCCATTTTTACCAAAAATTAAGTGGTCGTACAATTACTTTTAAACTCCTTTATCAATATAAATTATATATATATATATAATATGTATATTACACAATAAGACGCACCAGTATGGGGAAACAATATCCATTACTAGCTGTTGACGCCCAAATCAGGAAATCGTCTGTTATACCAACATTATGTTTATAATGTCAACTTGGTTAACTTGGCTACGAGTATTCAATCAAAAAAATAATAATGACAGTTATAACTATTACAAATAATAATAATAGTATATTTGTTAAATTTGTATTCTTCTACATTAAAATTCATTTAACAATTGTTAATTTAATTTATAAATTTTAAATACAAATTATATATTTAGTATAATTATGAAATGCTTAATATTTTATCTATCAAAATTACCTATTCTATTACATCCTCTATTTGGTTTTTTGACATTTTTCTGGTATGATAATTGACGATCTAAGTACATATACAAATCGTCAGTACAATACTTCTTATCTACAAAAATCAATTTTGTCAAAATATAAATTATTATTTAATATTTTTTAAATTCGAATAAATGTAATTTCTATAAAAGTTCTCAATAAAACAAATAAGAATACTACTATTTTAAATGAAATGATATAATATAACGTATTGAAAATATCATAATATTTTAGTAGATTGTGTCATTACAACAAGGTGTCATGTTCTAAGTAAAAAAAGTGTTTGAAAATTATTAATGCAATTTTTTAATTTTAAATGATATTAGCCACAAGTGATCTATTCTTATTATATAGTTGTATTTCTTGCTGTTATGTAAACGCAACTATCATCAAAAGTTATACATCAATTTGTTCGTAAAATGGAAAAAGTTATTTATACAACAAGAAAGAGCGTCATCATTTTTTAAACATTAAATAAAATATAATTAAAGGGCTTTAACCAAAACAAAAATCTACTAATAAACTTCTTTTATACAATTTTTTTTTTTCGTGTATAAGACCTTGTAATTATAGGACCAGTAGTTCACCATATATCAATCCAAATTATGTTAATAATAATAGTTTATTCAAAATTAATACTATATTAAAAATATTATTATTTTAAAACTAAAAAATATTTAAAATATTTAACACAAAAAGCACAACAAAATTACTAAAAAATCGCGAATACGTATTTCGGGAACAATGTTACCATTATTAACTCTAAACTTATCTGACACCCCTTTTTTTTTTTTTTTCCCTTCCTCCCTTTCGACTTGATGTGGACCGCCCCGGAACTGCCGTTAGGCATTGCTTCGGGGTGGTTATCCTGACACCCCACCGGAAAAAAACCCATTATATACCTTAGATGTATAAGTGGAGTGACTAGAAAAGATAGAATAAGGAACAAGTATATAAGAAGGAGTATAGGTGTAGCGTCAATCGTGGATAAGACGAGAGAAAATAGACTTAGATTGTTTGGTCATGTTATGAGGAGAGAAGAATCGGAAGCTGTAAGAACAGTTATAAAAATGAATGTTGAAGGAAGAAGAGATAGAGGAAGACCAAAAAAGAGATGGAGGGATGCTATTGAACGCGATATGAGGAGAGCTGATGTGAGCGTAAATGATGTGGGAAATCGTGTCAAGTGGAAGTTTAGGATAAGGGTGGCCGACCCCAAGTAGTTGGGATTTAAGGCGAGGAAGAAGAAGAAAAAGAAGGAAACAATGTTACCATTATGAACTCTAAACTTATCCGGACACCCACACCGGAAAAAACCCGTTATATATCACTTTTATTTGTAATTATTTTCATATTTAGTAAGTTTTATGGTTTTAATGGAGTGATTAAGTGTCAATAAATGATTAGCCACCGGAGAGGATGCTGAAAATGAACTCTATCTTTAGGTAACCATAATGATAAAGTAGAAGAAAGGGGGATATCGAGCATATATAAATACAATTTGAAAGTTGTATAAATGTTACGTAGGATAAACAAAAAGAAATATAGGGGTCAGATGTAAAGAACACTTAAGAAGCATTAAAAATCAGGAAGTTGATAAATGTCCGAATTTTAGTAATTTTATTGTGGCTTTTTGAGTTAAATAATTTTAGGTTTAAATTAATAATATTTTTAATATAAGGTCATCCACGCCAAATTATCCAGTAGTAGTTGCACAACCACCTCATTTTTTTTTAATTTTCAGATTATATTCTTTATGCTATATTTACTTAATAACAATTTACTTTTTGTAAGACCTTTCCATCTTTATGGCTATTTCAATGTAAAAAATGTTTAAAACGGTCAGAGCGCTAAAAAAACACACAGGTTATTCAATATTAATTTAATCGAATTTAAATTTTAGAATTCACTATATTATAACTAAAAGTTAACATTAAAAAAAATTATATGACATTCTAAATTTTTAATGACTTTCTATGTAAATTGACGTTTTTGAGCTAAATAAAAATCATTAAGAAGTTGACATTTTATTATTTATTATTATTATATTCTGGTTATAAAAGTTATTTTAGTATTAAAATATATAATAAATATATTCTAAATTTTAGAATATTTTATCTTCAATAATATCAGTTAATGATGTCTTAAAGCTTCTTATGGTATTGTTATTAATTGGTACAAATCTGAGTTTTTCCCTAGTACTAAAAATAGCTCTATATAATTTAAATCTCACATTAATTTGTTTTTCTAAATACTAAAATAAAACCAATATTATTCATTAAAATATTTATTGCACATAATTATTGTTATAATAATTTAATTAATTCATTTTTTATTTTGCAACTAAAATAATGAATTGAATAATTATAATAGTTATGTTGTATTGATATATATATATATATATATATATATATATATTACACAAAAAAAAAAAATTACAAAAATATGGTTTGAAAACAACATAAAAGTTACATTAAGTTATTTGATTTTAAAGCGGCCTTTTACTGATTTTCTATGCTATATCCTACATATTACACTTTTTTTTCAAACTTCAAATTTTTATAGTGTATTAAACTATATATACTATAGATATATAACTAGAAAATTAAATTTTCAATTTCGCATCAAAACTAAAAAAAATTTTTTCTTGAAATTAAGTTCTCCAATAGAAATAATGCACCTAAAATACGTGTATTTTTATAAAATGTCCAACTTTGTAGACCTCTAAATTCGAAGAAAATTGTTTTAAATATTTGAAAAATAGATGAAACATATTATAAACACTATACAATACCACATTTAAATATCACTATAAAATAATAACTTCTGAATGGTTTTTAATTGAGCTCAAAAACGCCAATTTACACAGAAAGTCAACATTTTTAGTGTCATTAAAGTTTAAAATGTCATATGACTTTTTTTTTCAATGTAAACTTTTAGTTATAATAAGGTCAATTCTAATATTTAAATTTGGTTAAATTAATATTCAATATTAATTTAATCTGTATTTTTTAGCGCTCTTGCTGTTTTTAACATTTTTTACATTGAAATAGCCATAAAAATGGTAAGGTTATAAAAGAAAAATTGTTTTAATCTAAATATAGCATAAAGAATATTGTAAAATGTAAAAAAAACATGAGGTGGTCGTTCAACCACTTCTGGTTGATTGAACATCAAATTGGATTGACCCTATATTTTTAATTTAAAGTCATATTAGCTACATGTGATCAATATTTATTAAATAATAGTTTACTGTGATCATTTTATTAAAAAGTTTACACATTTACTTTTATTGTAGAGCAGATCATGATACATTCTCTCATCTAGTTTGTTGAGATTAACCCTTTGAGTATAATTTTTTATAATCTTTTCTATTATGAAACCAGATGTATATTCTGGTTGATTTTTCATTTCTTTTATACAATATAGTTTATCTTCATTAGTCAAAAACTGAAAAATATTATTTTATAAAACAAAAATCATTTTAATCAGAGCATAATGGTACAATAAAAACTTTAATTTAATAAAAGTTTTAATGTCGCATAATTTCCAATTCATTATTAATAATCAAATCGAAAAAATCATTTTGTACGTAAATGTTATTTTTTAAAATTTTTCCAAATAAGTGGTACCGATTGGATTTTTAAAAAACATCATGTCCAATACAGTAGGATCGCGGGAAAGTTGGGACAAGTATGGATGATATCTCACATCAATTAAAATCACTATCATAAATAACATTTCGATATAAATGAGTTAAATTTCTTAATTTGAATATTTTTAATTTTATAATTTCTATGATTTAAAATTTTACTTAAATATAAAATGCTTGTCAATTGATTTTCTTAATTGAAAATAACGCTGTATTTTTGCATTGATAATAGAGTTCACATAATAGAACAATTGTCAAAACATTTATTTTTTAATATTGTAGTACACTTCAAAATATTTTATTTAATTTAGGTTAGATTTTATCAGATCTTCCGGAATATTAACAAAAATCGAGTTAAAAAAAAATTTTACAAGCATAAATGGCCTCTTTGAAATACTTCCTGTACTTGGAATTTTTATTCAATATTCAGAAAACCTATACCAAAAGAAAACATAATTTTTTTATATAACACATTTGAGGTATTTTTTTAAATCGATATGAATAAAATAATTTGACGTGAGTGTGTGGTCTCTTTCAAATTACACCTGTACTTAGTTTTCTTATTGGATATTCAAAAAAAACATATCAAAAGTAAACTTATTATATCTAAAATACGCAATTAAAATCTCATTTGGATCAGTGTTCTTAAAAAAATTTACATCAGTTTTTAAATACATGCATTTTTTTTCTTACAGTAGCGTCATTTTGAGATAACTTATTAAATTTATAAAATTGAGAGATTTTTTTTTAATTTTTAATAATATTAGATCAAATTAATAAAAATTAGTCTCTCTTGACGTATTGATCATTAAATTCAGTCCATTGTGAGCTAAGAATTTTCATAGATAGATATAAAAAAAAAAACCCAGCACAGGGGGGTCGCGGCACAGTTGTGACGTGGTATAGTTGGATCAAGTATAATGATATCTGACAGTGATTAAAATCACTATCAAAAATAAACGCTTCGATGCAAATCTTTAGATAGTG